CCCCTCTCCCAAGTTACTGGGTATCTTTTACTCAATTTTGACGAATATACAATAGGATATTTTTCATAAGAATCCGATTTAACAAAATATGTATTGATAAATGAAAGAAATGATATTTTCTCACCTTTCTTGAACTTCCCTGAATCTTTACAAGGGAAATCAATCACTGCATCAAGTGAAAGGTTAAAAATGCCATTTCACCACATATGTTTGAGTTTTTGGCTGTAAAAAAATGGTACCAATCACTGCTTTCATTGGTACATTACACTTATTTTTTAAGGAGTGTCTCTGAAAGGATGTTTTAGGTCAAATTGCAAATAACCACCAGTTCTATTAAAATATACATCACCTCACACATTTTGCAGAGTAAATTCTGTTTGTCTTAAAATATTCCTATCAAGAAGTTTTAGTTTCCAATACCTGAAAATTTTTTATAAACAAAATTCACTGCTAGGCCTTTTAGTTTCAAATTAAACTGACAAATCACTAGAGTGGAGCCAGAAGTTATAAGAAAATTGTATTTCTATTCATGATCCAATTTCTCACTGAAAAGATGTACCCAATAATCACTGCCTGTCCTTAACTATGGCCTAACGTTTCATAAGTAATTTCAATATGAAAAGGACAAAGTAAAAGTGGTTTTCTGCATATCTGCATTTTACCCTATGTTATTTTCCTGTCTAAAGGCAAAATTAAATAGCCACTCTTCCTCAGAAAGGCCAGAACAACTTCAGACAGTATGTAAGTTCCTGGACACCAAACAGTATCAGAAGATACACAATTTTTCAAGCATACTGGTTAAATAAATCCTATGAAAAAGGCCTCCTAAGATCTTTCAGAAAATGATCGCATCAAGATCACAAAGGGTTCCAAACAACAGGAAATACAAGTGAAAAAGCGATTTTATAAGGTAACTTTAACATACAACTAAAAAAAACATATCTAAAATGTTAAATAGCTACTATGAGTGAAACCATATTTATCTGATATGGCATCTTTTATATATGATAGTAAAAAGGATTAGAACCACCTAAAAATATCCATGAAAGGTTCTGTTTCATTAGTCAGTGTGTATCACTGAGAGACAATGCAAGCCGCATTTGTGAATGACACAACTCATTTCCATTCTATTTGGTTCCCTGCCACAAATGCCACAGTCATGCTATACATTCTAGATGACTGGGATTTAAGTATATTTACACAAAGCTAAACATATCAAAATCCTGAAGGGAAAAAATACAGCATGCAATAGTCTTGCAGGGTGGGGGTGGGGTGGGGAAGAGACAACCCATCTGTTAAGTACTGTAAAAAATTGGTGGTATATTTGTATGGTGGCTCTCCTTCAAGTGCTTCCATACTCAACAAACTGTTCTATTTAATCAGAGATCTTCCTAATGTGGAGGAACTGTGGCGGAGGGGAGACCACATAAGGGACTAAGAGGCCATCTTCTCAAGTATCCTATACACTACTTATTTGATTTCTAATATTCCTTCTGGTCTGTCCTATGTTTCAGATGGATCACAGCCAAACATACAACCTTGTGGTCTTAGAAGACTACATCCAACACACAGATAATGAATCCATTTTAAAGGTCAAATTCCAAAGAAATAATTTAATCTGGAGAAGTCTATTACTGATACAGAAATTAAGAAAATACTTCTGAGATTTTTATTTACAAATCATTCTGAAAAGGGCACTTCTTTTTAGAGTTTAAGATTCCAAATTTAGTGAAATGTTTAGCAAACATCTATTCAATAAGGTAAATATGGCCTAACAACTGAAAGGAAGGAGATAACACAAAAAACTATTAAAACTGAATTAATGATTAGAGTTGGAGGAAAACATGTCAGTTACAGAAAAAAAGAACTGATATTTTCCCCATTCTGGTTCTAAGGAAAATCCTTACATTTTTATTACTTTGGTTTCAAATGGATTGAAAAAAATTAAATGGAACTTTCACTCCTATTCAAGCACAAATCTACAAATAAAAACCAAAAATCTGCCCAAAAACAAACAAAAAAGAAAAAAGTCTCTAACTATGATCCAGCTTCCAGAGGCTGACATCCATAAATGGGTAGAAGGTTATGCACTCTCATCTCCCCACCAATAAAATGCAAACCAGCTCAGCAATGAAAATTCCCAGGAAAGCAAGGTTTCTTCTTAGTCCTAAAGCAGCTATTGCCTAAGTGTAGCTCCCTGCAGCCAACAGCATTAATGGACGCTGCACTGCTGTCCTTCCCTGGAGACAGCAGCCAGCACTACTCAAGCTTCTCACGTAGCAACCAGAGCTCCAGAGCCAGCAGCTGCTGCTGCCTTGTATACTCACCCCTGTGATCCAACCCAAAGGAACCACCTTCTCCTTACCCCACCCCCACTCCTTACATACCTTTTTTTTTTTTTTTTT